CTACCACATGAATTACATATGTATCTTATATATAGTATCAATATATACCTCTCCTTACATTTTGAACATCAGATTGAATCGCAAATAATCCCATAATCTATATTTGCAACACCCACACACTTCATATTGAAAAATTTCCATATGCCTGAACATGCGCGCCATCGCTCCCTTCACTAGTGTCGTATTATTTTATTCTAAGTTGAAATTTTTCACTTTTGGCCATCCATTTCAAAACAAAAAAACAATACAGTACCACAACATGTAAATTATATATTATGGAAGTATTCATCATAGTGAATCTAAAACATAAATCTTTTGTTGTTAATATAGAAAGCTTTTTAAATTGATGATTGAAGTTAGAAAATATTTGACTTAATACAAAGCTAAGGGTGTGTGGACAACTTTTCCTGCAGCTTTACAAAGTTGTTTTCAACTTCTCCTACCAAACAGGTCCAGATAAAATAGAGAAGCTTTTTTAGCTCCTCTCGCACGCACAATTCTCTAAGTGAAGCTGAGTGAAACTGAAAATATTAATTTTTCTTAGCTTTCTCTTTGCTATCTTCCCTGATAAGTTGTTTTACTAAACATTTATGCAAATAGCTTTAGCTTCACTTGTGAAGCTACTTTATGGAACCAAAGCAAAAAAAAAATGTTTCATTAGTGAAGTTGAGTTGCCATGGATCGGCGGACCCACTAAGATTTTGGACACAAACGAACAAACCGTCCAACGTGCATGTATGCGTGCTGAGATACTGTCGAGACTCGAGAGTCGCCGGAGTGTCGGCTGAAGCAAGAAACCATGGCAAAGGACACCCGTGCCCATGCTGAATTGCTGATCCAGAACGGCACACGATGATCGGGCAGCGATGCGGACGGCAGCCCTGCGGATGGATGGGGGATATATAACCAGTTGCCTCTGGCACAGCGCACACGGCCACACCTACACGGGTGTGCGCTCTTCAGGTCCAATGGCTTTCATTCTTTTGGGGCAAGGGTGTGCTAAAATACTATTAAAAAACGATTTTACGACATAAATTTTTTTAATTTTCAGAGACGCTAATTTTTCCATCTGTTTCTTAAATTATTTTAGGAAATATTTATGAAAATGGATATTCAAGGGCGAATATTAAACGGAGAGCCTTTACAAATAGCTATTTGTAGAGACGGTACATCTAATATGTCCATCTTTTAAAAAAATCATTTTCAAAGCGAGCTCTTATATGAGCCGCCTATGAAAATTTTGAGCCCAGCAAGTAACCCTAGCATAGTGCTAGCATGGCCCTCAAGGCCTCAACCCACCCCGACTGCTCTTTGTTTATCTCCCTCAACTCACCCCATCTCTCTCTCTCTCTCTCTCTCTCAACCGTCGCCATCAACCTACCTAGACCGTCGCTGCCCCCCTCCCATGCCACCCCCGTGGCCCTAGATCTCACGTCTAGAAGATCTGGGCCTTATCTTGGCAGATCCATGGAGGAGGCGCACCGGCCACTTTTGCATGGGCAAGGCCATCATCACCATGTCCAGCTAGCTTCGGGCGGCAATCTCCCCCCCTCGCTGCTCCATGGCACCATAGTGGATGTCCTCATCGAGTACATCGCGAACAACGAGGTGGAACAAGCCGAAGAAGCTTGTCTCTGTGTGCTCGAGGTCTGGGCAATCCCGCACACATTCCCGCCCACCACTCATCTGGTGTGGTACATCTTCATCTCGATAGCAAAGGTGAGTATGTCTTCGTCTTAGCTTCCCTTGGCTTTCTCTCCTCCCTCCTAGCTACGTTGATGCTCCTTTGCAGAGAGTGAAGGAGGTGGAGGGCACGGCGAAGGAGGGACACACGGGCTTGTGTCATTGATTTGCGCAGGAGGTGTGCTTTCCCATCGGGCTAGCTGACTGGGTTGAAGGCGAGGCACGGTGGGCTCAGCAGCAGACTAGATTGGCTTGGTGGTGAGCTCATTTTTCTCAAGAAATTTCCAGAGGCGGACATCGTCTTAAGCACCCTACCTCTAGAAATATGAATTACATAGGCAGCAGAAGAGCTTGCCTCTGTTATTTTTCCATTTTCACATCATATAAGTTGATGGTGGAAAAGCACATCGTATAAGGCAAGCTATGAAATCTACCTCTGGAAATCTGAATAACATAGGCGGTAGGGGAGCCCGCCTCTAAAACTGGATTTGTCTACGTCATAAAATCACTCCTATAATAGTGAAAGATTCTAACCTACCATGTAATATTGTCATAAAAACATGTCATTAAGACAATTTTAGTCAAATAAAAAAAAATAGAAACACCAACATATTTCAATGTTTCAAACAGCATGGGCATGCTAAAGACATAGTGGCGGCCTTCTCCATGAGCTATGAAAAGTTATAGTAGGGTATGACTAAAGCTTTTTTACTTTGTGGTTTTATAGTGAACATTAAAATTCTTAATTAATTGTACACGCCATGTGTTAAATCAATCATCATACTCATGACTATAATCAACATTCATATCCATTCAAAAATAAACAAACAACTATTCAATAGTTATTCAATTGTTCATGTTATCATTTATTAAGCAAAGAACACAATAGATAGGCATACGCTATAGTCATCTAGGGTAAGGAATAAATATTTGTCTCGGTCAGGATTAATGGTGCTAAAAATTATTTTACGGCTAAATCAAATAATAATGTTACCAGAGCCATAACATCATTAGCGACAATAGGGGAACAATTGATAATATTATAGAGCTTGACCCATGAAAAATCTTTAGCGAAACTATATCAACCTATTTAAAACAATGCATTATTTTAGTTCAAAAGCATGCATATAAGTTATGTGTGTCAATTTGTCTTTCAAATTATTTCTAATTGTTATAGATTGCACAGTGAATCCAGCTCGCAATACTCACAAGTTAGCTCCATACAAGGCTTTGGTCCATCGAAGCCCACAACCAATTAAGACCATGAACCTAACTCGACACTAAAGATTAGCCTGATATGTGAGGGTTTCCCTCGCCTAATATGATGTGCTCTCCTACTGTCAACTTCAAATGTAGGACTAAACCTAATAATACGGGAACATATATTCTTTGCTCTACGAGAAAAACTGTTCCACAGGAAGAGCTAGAGTCGGAGTTATTTTAGGAAGAGCTAGAATAAGACCTGTTTAGATCTCATGGTCTAAACTTTACTTGGCTAAAATTAAGGCCTAAACTTTTAACCAGTTTATCTTACCCGTGTGGTCGAATGAACTAATAGTCTTTTTACGAGCTTGGCAAAACTTTAGACTACACTTTATACCCATCTGTTTGGAGCCTCAAAAACTAAAACAGTCTATTAAACTTTAGGCTAAACAGGATCTAAAACTAATTGCATTCTTTCGGACCAAGCACATATAAAGGTCGAGTGGCTGGTTTCAGTTTATTAGTTTGGTCGGTGCCTAGAATACGCGGTGCTGAAAATCGTTCAGATAGCATGGACAGACTTGGGAACAACTTCCGCTCTTTATCTTTAATAAACACACGCAGACACGCTTTGGCTCTTTCAGGCCTAGCTAGTGCTGGAAGGAAGCTCCAGCAGTCACCGCTCAGACCTGCTGAGAGACTTTTAATCTGTTCGAAAGCAGGTTCCAATTGTCATTTCGGAACAAGGTTCCAATGCGAAAAGCCTCCACGCATGCATCATTCAAAGAATGAAACCTCGCTCAATCTCCTTCCCGCGCATATATACACTATGCAGGTTACTGTAGACAGTAAGAGGAGGCTGGAGCCGGCAGATTTGATACAAAAGCTGGGATAGCACAAGCGTTTGCCACAGCCTTTGACCCTGTACCTGTACGAGCTCCACCTCCACGACAAGGCTGCAGCCTCGTGAGCAGAAAAGAAAAAGCTCGACGATCACTGGGAACGATCGATCGAACAGGTAGCTAGGCCGGCCGGAAGCAGATTCGATTCCACGGTGGTGCAATCAGTCTGTCAGCCAGTCAATGGAAGATCTCTAATTTGATAACCATGGATCTAGCTCCATGTGGACATGATCAGACTGAAAATGAGACGGATCTATATCTATCTATCTATAGAGTATCTAAGCTAGCTCTCTAGCAGCTGCTACTAGCCGACGGTTTTGCTTTGACTTTGCTTGCATTCTAAGAGTAATACTAATAGGTAGGGGCTCACCGGATCGGATAGATTGTTGTGGTCAACCGAATCATGCAAAAGCAAATGATGCAAAGACACGAGGAGCCAGCGAGAAGGCAATGAAAATGGGAGAATTTGGTACTGCTAGTACCAGCTTGGGAGTATTTTCAATCTCATCACTTGCAAAGCTGCATCCATGCACTAAACCTTTTCTTGATCCGGAAATGAAAACAATCCTTCCTTTTTTAACAATTTGGGGGTTGTGAAATATCAACAGCTTTGTCTTTCTCACCCATTACGTTCTTTAATTTCATATGAATAGGATAGGATATATGTATGATCGGCCGAATATTACATGTGTTCTGTTATCAGCAAAGTAAAGTATCGGTTGATGCTGAGTGCTCAGCTCATACCTCACTATCTCAGTGAGAACGAAAGGGGTGTGACCAGGTTTATTGGGCAATCGAGAGCAGTATCTGCGGCCTGTCAGTGTCAGCTCAACAACTCGAGCCACTTCGCCCGCAAGATGATTTCCACTCATATCATATCGCCATATGATTTTCTGACGTTTTCTTTCCTTCTTTTAAATAATAAACGACGACCATGATTCTCTAGCTTAATTACTAGTACATGTTTATTAGAGAGACAAAGACAAAAATATGCACAATGAGCAGCTAACTGATCACAACACAAAAAGGAGCTCATCACCCATTGATTGATATTACTACTGTATCGGATCGGAGCGCATACAGGCATGAACATGATTATGATCATCAGCAGATGATCTTTCATTCAACTCTACTGACCGGAGTAATTAGTACTCATGACTCATTTTCTGATATAGCATGGTGATCGGAGCTAGCAGCCGGATGACATATAGCTCAGCTGAGCTTTGCGTCCACGTCGGTGTCCTTGAGGAATTCGAGGCAGCAGTGCTGGAACTTGTCGGCGGCGGCCTGCGGGACGGAGAGGAGCACGGTGACGCCTTGCGGGTCGCCCATTACAGGGAGGAAGACGCAGTAGATCTCGCTGGTGAGCGGGCCCATGTGCGCGGCCTTGCCGGCGCCGAAGTCGAGGTCCTCCAGCCCCAGGCGCGTCCACGCCGAGATGACCAGGCTCGCCGCCAGGTCCGGTCGGGCGCCGCGCCGCTCCTCCAGGAGGTCCACCATGGAGCGCACGTAATCGTCGTCCACGCAGTCCTTGGCGTCCTGCACCAGCCGCACCCCGTAGCGCGATGCCGAGGAGGAGGACGGAGAGGTCAGCAGCTGCGCCGCCGTTGACTCGGCGCACCCGAGCACGAAGCCGTTGCCGTAGTAGCCCCGGGGCAGCTCGGGCTTCAGGCGCCGCCGCACGTTCACGGAGAAGAGCAGCTTCACGCGGAGCGCGCCCGGCGGGTCCAGGGCGTGCACCCACGCGCGCCACACGTGCGCGGCGAGCGCCTCGAAGGAGGTGCACTTGAGCGACGGCGCGCACTGCCGCTTGAGCCGGAGGAGGTGCGCTGCCGTGAAGGTGAGCGACACCGGCGCCAGCGGCTGCCCCAGCAAGCGGGCCAGCAGGCTCGGCGGCGCCTCGTTCGCGTTCCCGTTCCCGTTCCCGTTGGCGACGGCCGCGCTGATGCCGCGGGTGCTGTACTCCGGGTGCGTGAACGCGACGCGCGGCGGGCAGCGCGGGCGCAGGGCGCGGCGGTCGTGGAACGGCGGCGCCGGCAGGGCAGGGTCGTTGTCGTCGGCTCCGGCGTCCGGTGCGTCGTGGCCGCCGCCGCCGCCGCGCACAGCGCGCGCCCAGGCGTGGAGGAACTGCGCGGTGCCGATGCCGTCGCAGAGGCAGTGGTTGATGGCGGTGCAGAGGACCATGCCGCCGCAGCCGAGCCAAGTGACCTGAGCGCGAGTGCCACGTCATGCCGTCATCAACATTTGATTTGTTTTTAGGCAATCACCAAACAGTTGATTAATAATTTTAATAATTGAATTGAATAAATGCGCGTGCTCATGCAACTTTGATCAACCATCATTGAGATTAATCCTGGTTACGTGACGTCCCAACATACGAGAGGGAAGGGATCATGCAAGCAAGAAACAGTTATGAACATCATCACGCTACAGCACACACAATGCATCGATCATTCAGTCGTTTTCCTGAAAGCTACAGGTGCAGGGAGCAGCAAGCATGGAGTAAGATCACTTAAGGAAAAGCAGGCAGGCAGCAGGGGCTATGAATTCTAAATTGAATTTGGATTTGGGGGTAGAGTACTCTGATCCTGCTGAATTACAGCAGGACTATACGTCACCTGCACTGCACTGCAGTCTACAGTATTGCGTTCATGACCTCTCTGGTACCAAACATCACTGTAGACTGTGCTATGTACGTACTGAAGTTGCAGATCAGTACGTATGTATGACAAGGACAGGACAATGTCATTTTGAGGGGCACTGGGAAGATATATAATAAGGATCATAATATTCTCATCTGATCTGATTTTCCTGGAGCAGAACTTTGGGGGATCGAAGAAGATTATGCATGCATGCATTGTATCAGGATCGATATAAAACTTCACTCAAGTGGACAAGGAGATACAGCCTAGCCATATGCTTGTCTGCCTAAAAAGGCCTTTTGAGAAAGGGTGGAAGCAAGGGTTGGACTCTCCTAACCCTATCCCATCCTTTTGCTATCTTTAAGAATTGCCATCACTTGCCCAAAGCTGTGGCACTGCAGGGGACAAAAGCTTGATCCTAGCACAAGCATGGAGTGCATGATAACATAAACTAGATCCGACCTGTTGGTATTAAAGCCGGCTGAAAGAGAAAAATACTGTAGATAAGCTTTCTGATAAGTTCAAGAGAAAAAGACTCTAAGCAAGTGATGAAGAAAAAAGTGACATAGCTAGTTGCATGCCATGTTGCTTCTAGTGACCTTTTACATCATCTGTACTGGAACCATCTCAAGCACAGCAAACCAAAGTGACCACAAATCTTTTAGACTTCAAACAAGGTGGTAATTTTGCTTAAGTGGTGGCAACTGGCAAATGATGATTAGTTGTTTCTGAGTCCAGAACTTGTTTAATTGGTAATAAATAAAATAATAGTGCATGATTAACCAAGAGAAGAATTTGGAACAACCAGACAAATTAAGAGAGAGACAATAATTAATTGTTAGCACTAAGTAAAAGTAAAAGTAAAAGAGAGCCCCCACTCACCTGGACGACGAGAGGTGGCACGGCGACGAAGCTCTGCGCCTCCACCCTGTAGTGCAGCTTCCTCCAGGACTTGTGCGGCGTGGCGCTGGCGCGGCCGCGGAGGAAGTCGGCAGCGGTGAGCCCCGGGAGGCAGCCCTCGGCGAAGAGCGCCCCCTCGGCATTGCAGTCCACGACGAGCTTCCCCTCCTCGTCGTCGCTGGGGCGGAGCCGGCCGGCGAGCGGGTAGTAGTCGACGAGCACCCTGCCCAGCGCCGCCCGCAGCGCGTCGGCGGACACGGCGGCGTGGGCCGCAAAGACGTAGAGGTACTTGATGGAGAAGCGGAGGAACCGCTGGTCGTCGAGGTTGGAGAGGTGCAGGGTGTGGCGCGGCGTCGGCTGGCTCGGCCGCACCACCACGGGATCCCCCGTGTACTGGCACTCACCGGGGATCTCAAGCTCCGCCGCCGCCGGCTCCTCCTTCTCCATGGCTGCTGCCCTATCGCCGCGTTAATCGCATGGGCCGGCCTGCCAGCGCCCAGCGGTTATGTATATAGGTAGCTGCTACCGATAGCTGGAGGTCTTTTAATTTTCCTATAGCCTTATTTTACACAAGGATGGTCGGTTTATAGATGGTGTTGATTACTTGATTGCTTGCCATAATACTACTAGCGAGCTGTTTCGGAAACGGAGGATTCGTTCGCCCCTCGGTACTGGGTAATGGTAGTGCAACCAATTTTACAGCACTCCTTAAATATGGCTATGGTTACTTTGGCAATTGCCAACTGGCAAGGCCAAGGCTCCTCTAGTTGCTGCAAAGAGTACGAAGGATGATGGAACCGGCAGAGATTTGACACAAGCATCTGGAAAAGCTGGCCTAGCACAAGCGTTTGCCACAGCCTTTGACCCTGAACCACGGCCCAGGGGCCAGGGGCGGGGATCTACAGGATGCATTTCAGCCCATCGGTACATCGGTATGAGGCAAGTCTTCTCACAATGGTTTCATGTACCAGTTTTTAAGATCTGCTCAAAAAAAAAAAGTACCAGTTTTTAAGACCGTTTTGTTTCAAATAACGCAGACAAGTTTTATCCTCTTAAAACTCATTTTATTTCATAAAACTTTATCATCTCTTTCTTCATTCTATGCTATGTCATTAATTTATTTATTGTCATGAAACTCTCGTAAAACTCTATCGAGACTGGTCTAAGATTAAAAAAATCTCGATGATTCATCTGCCTCCGTCTGTGACTAACGACTCGTGATCCCATCCCAAGCGCCACACTACCGCTTGCCACCGCCGCTTCACCTTCTATGCCTTGCTGGCGACTCGTGAGTTATGATCCAATCCAACATCCAAGTCGCCAAGCGCCGCGCGCTGTACCTATTGTCCTCGTCGTCCGGTCATCAATGTCGTAACTAAGCTAGCACCCACCGAAAAGGGCCACACCGGCAGCGTAGACGGCGTTCGATCAGGTGAACATCCCAAGCTTTACAACGCAGAGGCTAATTGGTCTTAATTAGGTCTAGATCAGTATTTGGGTAGGAGACAGTACTGAATCGACTAGACCAATGAGATTTTTTTTTATTTTTAATCATTTTTTAAATTACTTCTAAAAATAACACAGTTAGGTATTTTTTAAACTACCGTGTTTGGTTTGAGAGAAAGATTTCATGTTTGTTTTGCATTTTTGCAATTTAAACAAGCTTGAATTGCGATTAAACTCGATGTGGAGGAGCTCGCCATAGTGGTGCATGCCTAATGCGGCTAGGTCCACCAGGGTGGGCAATCGGTTTAAACCAATAATTCGGTTCGGTTCTTCAGTTCACGAACATTTCGGTTTTGGAAAAGCTCGCCACCGGTCGATTCTAAAGAAAAAAGAGAAACCAACGATTTCGATTTCGGTATAATCGGTTCGGCGGTTTCAACCGAGATGCCAAATTAAGAACTCTCGAGCGCCATCCTCTTTCCGCCACTCGCAGCTCAGAGCTTGTCCGTCAGCGCGCCCCGCCCCCACTTGTCGCTCGCTTGCGCAGCCGCGTCGCCCCACTCGCAACTCCCCCTCGCGACTCACACGCGCAGTTGCGGCGCCTTGCTTGCCGCCTTACCGGTCACACGCGTTGCTTCTCGGTTTGAACGGTTATTCGGCTCGGTTTTGGTGGCAAAACCGAACACCGAACTGACAAACGAAGCTTCTAGATGTCAAAACCGAAGCCAAACCAAGAAACCAAAGAACCGGTTTGGGTTCGATCCTCGGTTTCGGGTTAAATGTGCCGACCCTGAGGCCTGATCGGTCCAGCTCCTAGTCATACACCTGAGCACCTACGCCGCCGCTCCTATGCTCCAACTCCTAGCGGTGGACCTAAGCACCTGCGTCGTCGCTGTTTCTTCGACTCCTAGTGTCATTGCTGCTATGCTTCAACTCCTAGCAACGCTGCAGTCTGCAGCAGGACTAGCTAGGTAGAGAGAAGAATCGCAACCGGGGCAACAGTGAGCGAGGAGCAAAGAAAAGTTTCACGGAGTGGGGCTAACCTACCTCGGTAGGCACAGATAGATTAGTGAATAGTGATTCTTTCGTCGATAGGGAAGAGGAGCCTTCGATTTCCTCTCTCCTCCACGTCGGATGAAACCATGTCAGTTGAGAGGGATGCAAACGATCAGATACAATTCTCACGTGGAGGATTGGGTGGTACAAATACAATTCCTAGCCAATCCAAGCGTATATGGACGCTGTCCCAAATGATCCATAGGAATCAAAGGGATTGAACCCGCACCTAGGAGGGGATCAACCCAATCCACGAAGAAGACTGGATCCACCGACCTTCAGCCTTTGCATTGGATAGCGATACTGGGCATGTTCGTTGGTTGGTGCTGGTGCTGGTTTGGGCTGGCTGGTGCTGGTTTTTTGTGAGAGAAAAACACTGTTGGCTGGCTAGTTTAGGCTGGCTGAAACCAACAAACGAACAGACTGACTATGACCGGTTCTTTTCCAGTGAAGCCCCATGGGTTATCTTACAAATGCATGGGCCTGGGCCGTTCTAGTAACTGGGTCGCCCGCCCTTTCCAGTACTAACCGACCCTTGGAGAGGACTGGGGTGGTCAAGCTTCCGTCGTCGTTAGCAGGTCACACAGTGTGACACAGGCATTCATGCACGGTTTCAGTTTGACTAGTAGTATGTAGTTTAACGCTTTAACTTTGTGATGAGGCGGTCCATGGGATGGGATCAATACAAATCACTCAACTCATTGATAACTTGCGACTGTACTGACTATATGTTCCGAGTACGTACTCCCATGGTTTATTCCGAATATCTGAATAATGGACACTGTAGTAGGATCGGAAGTAGTACTAGGGTATCAACCCATGGTCTGTAAAACAACAAATTTATCAGCAATATCCGCTTAGAAATACCTCTATAAATAGAAAGAATTATCTAGTATATCTATAAAAACATTTTTCACGATCAATCTATTAACATCAACCTTATGGTGTCAATAATCTATACACTTTATTTTATTTGGTGTTGATGGTCAGTGTTAAAAATATTTCACTAACCATCCATATCCATCTGCCGTCGTCAACTGCGGGGAGGCCGTCATGCGCGCGTCAACGCCTTCGGTCGGTGCCCGAAGTTTCCGGGTCCTACGAAACCGCTTGACACGACAGCAGCTTGACAATGCAGTGGAGGAGGTCCACCTGCCCATGGAAGTAGAGCAGCCACAACAACAGCTTGACAATGCAGAGATTCTTGCAGTAGAGCATAACTTGATGCAGCCAGCAGATAAAATGCATCAGAACCAAGGGTTTGCCCTCCACCAGCCTCTGGCTAACGACATTATCATGCCTGATATAGTCTGGAATGAGGAAATTCCTCGGGATCAATTGGTGGTCCCAGGAGAGGAAGACCCACAAGAAAACCCAGAGGAACCTGAACCACCAGTTCAGAATCAGGAGATTCCAGCACAGAACCTGAATGTTGGTATGGCTCTGATTGAAGGGCCAGCTATTGATCCAGCCTACTTGGACTGGGAAAGGAGAAAAGCAACAGAAGCCATCAAGATCTGGGATAGTCTCACTCATAAAGGCATGTCTGGTGATCTTACTATCACCATACCAATGGAATGGGCAAATTTCTTCACAGCTCTTTTGCTCTCCCAGAGAGCTTCTTGTGGACCAGGGACTTCCTATCCTCCAAGGCTGTTAGTCTGTTGGATAGTAAGTACACCCCCTCAGCTTTGTCATTACAAATAAGTGTCCTGTTGAAAAGAAATTGGCTTGCATATCTGAAATCGTTGATAATGGAGCTATTGAAAAGAATTTGGCTTGCATATCTGAAATCGTTGATAATGGAGCTGCAGACCGGACAGAAGGTGAGCAAATCTTGGAAGTTCTAGCAGAAAAACAAGGATCTGAAGGTCAGACCTGTACACCTCCGGGGAGGAAGAAAACAGGCAAAAGGACAGTTCCACTAGTTGACAGTGAGGTAAGAAGTGATAGGCTTAAACAAGCTCAAAATGGTTTTAAGCCCACCTCTGGTGGCTGCAAAAACTGTCTTGCTTGCACTCCTTCAGCACCAACCTTGTCTAAGGAAGTGATCAAAAATTTGGGTGTGCAGTTTTGTAAAATGAATCCAGATGACTTGTTAGATGAAGCCCTGATGAAAAAGAGAAGCAAGCCAAGTCCAGTGAAGAAAGGAAAAGGCAAGCCAGAGGAGAAGCCTGAGGCTAATGATGGGAAGGAAACCAGCAAGAAGGCTGGTAGAATGGCTTTCTGAATTTGTGTAAAAGATGAGTGCAAGCTGTTTTAGAAATTGGAGTGTGTTGAGTTGGAAGGTCAGGGGCATGAATGCCCGATGGAAATGGGATGCCATAAGAGACAGTTGCTGCAACCTCTTGTGATATAGTGTGTTTCCAAGAAACCAAAAAGGAATTCTTCGATTTGCAGTTCTTGAAAAATATTTGGCCCCCAACATTAAATAGCTTTGCTTTCCTTCCTTCTATTGGTGCCTCTGGGGGCATTTTGATTGCTTGGAAAGGTTCAGTTTTTGCTGGAAACATGGTCTTTAGCAATGAATTTGCAGTCTCAATGGAATTTCTCTCCTTGCATAATGAAACCAAATGGCTGTTGACATGTGTGTATGGGCCATGTACAGCCGAAGGTAAGCTGAATTTCATCAACTGGTTGAAAAATATTCAAATGCCTGAGGACTTGGATTGGCTCCTCCTAGGTGATTTCAATCTTATTAGAAGGCCAGAGGACAGAAACAAACCTGGTGGGAATCTGACCGAAATGTTTCTCTTTAATGCCTCCATCAGTAAACTTGGCTTAATTGAAATCCCTCTTCAAGGGAGAAAATTCACATGGTCAAACATGCAGCCCTCCCCTTTGCTTGAAAAGCTTGACTGGAAACAAACATACGGTGCTGCATTTGTCCTTCCGCATCATCTGGAGTAGCAGGAGAGCCCCCCCACCCAGCATCGCCGGCGGCCACCCCGGCGCCGGCGGCCACCAAAAAGCCCACCTCTGAGCCTGTGCCTCTGGATCCAGAGGTCCCACCCACGGATCTGGCACCACCAACCTCCCCTGCCTCCAGTAATTCACCATCGGCGCTAGATCTGGAGGATCCTTTTGAAGTGGAGCTTGTGGATTGGGATGAGGAAGACATTGATGGTGCCGCGCCGGGCATGGACGTAGCTGATGCGGAGGCTGCTGACGCGATGGCTGCCCACCTGACGACGATGAGCTCAGCCTTGAAGACGGCGCCACCTGCCATGGATCCAACGGGTTCCGTCCCCGTGGAGCATCCAAAGCCGACGATGAACTCAGCATTGAAGACGATGCCACCTGATCCGGCGAGATCCGCCCCTGTGGAGCATCCGAAGCCTCCTGGTGCTTCTCGGCCGCTCGTTCTGGGACGTGCGGGGGAAGCACGGGCCGGACGGGCCACTGCTGTTTCCCCTGCTAAAGACTGCACTGCGTCGGGCCGCTCCGTCACCTCGCTTTCATCTGCAAGGGCAGCAGCATCACCTCACCCGGCGCCCGATTCAGGACCTGGCGGGGCGGCGGCCACCGGAAAGGTGTCCATGGCCAAGCTCAAGTCCGTCCTGAGCGCCAGCACACCCCACTGCCGCACCCACGCAAGAAGATTTGGCGACGTCTGGATCTGACGAACCTCTCGGCGGAGGGGCTCCCTTCACTGGCGGCGTGTGGATCCAAGCCACTGCCCGGTCTCCTTCGGGCGAACCTTAACTCCGGCCCTGCCAAGCTCTGGAAGACTGGGGAGTGCTCCCGTGTTAATGAACGCCTGGGCGAGCTCCAGAGCGGACAGGTTTCACCGTCTTGGCATGCAGCGAAGACGAGGCGTCGAGGCCGCCATGACTCCATGCCTTTTCAGGCTACCTCCGACACACAAAGGAAGGGAAGGGACGCGGCGCGTGAGGGCTTTAAGAGGAGAGCCGCTGGCCGTTGCTACCGCTGCCTCGCCACAGACCATCGCCTCGCTCAGTGCCGGGAACCGGTCCGCTGTTTGGAGTGCCGTGGAGTGGGTCACTTCGCCAGAACCTGCCCCTCCCGTCGTCAAGCAGTCTCGACCAACCTCCGGTCTAGGCTAGTATTTCCTCCGGACAACATCCACAGCCGCGTCAAGTTTCCGCCGCTCACCCACCCGTCGTCGCCACCACAGCCCGTGCCGACAACCATGGCGTTCGTCCCTGGACAGGCCCTCCAGCGCCCTGCCCGCAACCACGTCAACATCGTCGCGACGGAGGGTGTGCTGCGTGAGGCCAACAGGCTGCGCACGCACGCCGTCATCATCTCGGCGCCACAGGAGGGCTATCGCTCCAATGCTCTGGAGGTGGGCTATGCCCTCTGGGCACAGCTGCGCATCCCGCGGCACAACATCCGGGTGTCCCGCCTTTGATCGGGTCAGTTCATCGCGGTGTTCGGTGCGCCGACGGAGCGTGAACGCGCCATGATGCAGGGCTTCGTGGAGATCGGGGGTTCTGCCTTCCAGATCACGCCCTGGCGCGCAGCTGGTGGACCGACGGAGACGACATGGTGGTACCACGTGAAGGTCGTCATGGAGAACGTGCCCAGGGAAGCTTGGAACGAGGACGGGGTCAAGCTCATTCTCGGCGACCCCTGCATCTTCGACAACATTGACACCAGCCCGGAGGCCAGGGAGACGCCGGACCTCCTGACCTCTTGGGTCTGGATGGAGGACCCTGACGAGCTACCGAGGTCCATCTCCTACACCTTCTTCGCTGCCAGGGCTGGCCAGGCAATGCAGATCAATGGGCTTGGGCCGGTGCCAACCCGCATCCCGGCCACACCGCCAATTGGGCGGGAGGGTGATAGCCTGATCCTGGTACATCTGGCGAGCTATCAGGACTGGAGCCCGTCCTCCACAGACTCGGGCTCTGGTACGTCCTCGGAGCATGGCAGCTCGGGGACGTGGTTCATCCCCTTCGAGTGGACGCGCGGCGTCCTAGACGGGAGGGCGGCCAAGGGCAGGCGTGCCCAACCTGGTGGATGCCGGCCGCCTCCCTCCACCTACGTGCGTAGGAACGACCACGACGACGACGAAAGGGGCCCCCGTCCCAGGGAGGAGCTGCAAAAGTCCTCCAGGGTCCGCCAGCTGTTCCCGGGCTGCTCCTCGGAGAGGTCCGTGCATGTTCGCACGCGCTCGCCGCCGACATATCGTCAGGCGCTGATGGGGGAGCTGGAGCCGGTGGAGTATGTGGAGCGCGGGCGCACGATGGCCCGCTCTCTGTCGCGGTCCGAGCGGGAACGCGACACCCTGGAGCACGCGGCGTACTAGTGGGAGCGACGCCGCTCAAGGCCCCCCTCAAGAAGGGCGGTTGCCGAGGCACACGATGCAGTGAGCAAAGACTTCTTCGACCACCGATTCATCGAGCCGGCAATGACGGCCTATGGCGGCTGTGAGTGGGATTTTGACCCCATGGTGCAGGAGTCTTTGGCGGTGCCGGTGTACAACCACCCGGCCATTTGCTACTACCCCGATGGTGACGATCGCGGAGCTGAGTCCCCAGTGTACGTGCCTACCTCGGGCCCCTTTGCCCCTGGTGGACCGTTGTCTAACACTGGGCCAGGGGGGACATGACATTGTCTTCGGCCCGGGTGTCCAGGTGTCGCCGATGGCTCAGTTGGTGGAGGAGTCCCAGGTGGAGGAGATCTCTGATAGGGTGACCAGGATGGACATCGACGGCACCCCTAGGTCAGGTATGATACTCGAGGCTGCTGGTGGGGCAGCAGAGCTTGCTGTTGCAGGAGGATTGGGCACTAATGAGGCCACGGTGGAGGACGGTGGGCAGGCTGTGGCTGGGGCATCGGGCGTTGCGGCGTCCGTCGGCTGTGCGACTTTTTGCAAGGCGATCGTCAAGGACACTACTGCACCGCTCCTTCCGAGGTCGGACACCCCGCAGCTACCGAGGGACGGCGCAGAGCCGCAGCAAATGGTGATAGTGGCCACCCGCACCATCCTTAGGCAGTTTGCCTGACCTTCGCCGTGCACTGTCTCACAGAGGGCGAGCGAAGCTCATGAGGGAGCTCCAGGTTCATAGACACACCTCTTTGCACCACCCCGATTCGACGGCCACGGAGTACATTGATCTGTATAAAGGGGACCTACCAGACCAGTTTGTTGACACCATCGAGCTGCTTTGCTAGGTCAAGGCAATAAGAAGTCAAAAGTCCTTGCGGCCTTTGGCGGCCGAGGCAGTCTTTGTAGAGATGTAGGTCCCATGAGGAGCCAGTACAACAAGGAGAAGAAGAAGATGAGAGTTCCTGCTGTTTCCAATGTTGTGTAGCTTTGTGTTAGTGCCAGCAGCAATAAAGATTGTTCATCTCCAAGGAATTTTAGACAAGGCAAGAAAGAAGCTAGCTGGCTGGCAAGGACGCTTACTTAATCCGGTAGGGAGAAGAGAGCTTGTGCACTCAGTCCTAAGTGCGATTCCAATTTATATGCTAACCTCTCTCAAGGCACCAAAACAACTCTTGCAAGATCTCGACAAGCTAAGAAGACGATTCACTGTGAAATGGAGATGGAGAAATCACAGTGGGAAATGCAAGGTGGCTTGGCCGTTGGTTGCAAGACCTATCCGCCATGGAGGCCTCGGAATCATAGATATGGAGAGGTTCAAGAGAGCATTAAGATCATACTGGTTATGGCTAACGTGGAAGCGCAAAGAGATAGACCGTGGATCGGGATGCGACTACTGTGGATGAGAAGGACATCGCCTTTTTCTCGGCGGCAACCAAAGTAACCATAGGCAATGGCGGAGAGCGCCTTTTCGGACCTCGTCTTTGGATCGGGGGCGGTCACCGCCTCCCTTTTCCCGAGCCTGCATACGCATGTAAAGCGGAAGAAAAGGACAAGTCGCGTGAGGCCGTTTTTGATGGTAAGCTCATTCGGACATTGCACACAATCTGAATGCGAGATATTGAGAGACTTTGTCGAGTCAGGGAAACTTATACACACCTTGCATCTGGACCAATCATGTGAGCAAGAGGACACTATTGTTTGGACTCTTGAGAGCTCGAAGTAATCTGATGCCAAGTCGGCCTATGAAATTCAGTTCTGCGGTCAGACTTTCTCCAATTTTCCAAAACTGATCTGGAAGGCATGGACGACACCCCGCATCAAATTTTTCTTATGGTTGCTCTTGCAAGATCGAGTCTGGACAGCAGCCAGGCTACAGTTGAGGGGATGGGAAAACAACTATTTTTGTGCTCTGTGTGAAAGGAATTTGGAGACTGCCGTCCATCTATTCACGGAATGCCCGTTTGTGAGAGAAGTCTGGAGGATGGTAGCAACATAGAGCAGTTGCCTTAACCTTCAGTCGGAGGGTTGGAATGACTACAGCGACATGGAAGAGTGGTTCTTTGCAATCACAAGTATCGGAACGAAAGCAGCGCACTCACTAGCAATGCTGACTACCTGGCATATTTGGAAGGAAAGAAATGCTATTATTTTCCAACAAAACCATAGCATCGTACAGGCACTGTTCGCCAAGATCAAGGATGAGTACTCCAATTGGGCGTCAGCAGGGGGGAGGACCTTCCACTTCCTCAGGATTGGGATGAATTCAATGAGTAATTAGCATAGAACCTTAACATCCCAGGTGGCGGTCTGCCACTTGGGATGGCGCAGCTCGCGCATGTATATTGAACTCTATCTTCTACTTATTAATACAAGCCAGTATAACCGGATCTTTCAAAAAAAAGAAAAGCTTGACTGGGTCTTTACTTCAAGTAACTGGACTCTAAACTATCCAAACACATTTGTCAAAGCTTTGGGGATGACCCCTTCAGACTACTGTCCATGCCTCATGTCAGTATCAACAGCTATTCCAAGAAGCAGAATATTCAGGTTTGAAAACTTCTGGCTTCAGAGTGCTGATTTTCTGAATGTGTTAACTCAAAGCTGGTCAGTCACAGTTCATCACACAGATAGTGCTAAAGCTTTAACAGCAAAGTTCAAGTCACTGCGAAAGTCACTCAAAGATTGGCAGGCTGGATGGTCAGGTATTAGAGAGGTAATTGCAAATGTTAAATTGGTAATTCAGTTCCTTGAAGTCCTAGGGGATTTCAGGGACCTCAGCTTAGAGGAATGGAACTTCAAAAGTATTTTAAATGAACACCTCATTGATCTGTTAGAAAAGCAAAGAATCTATTGGAGGCATAGAGGTTCTATCAAATGGGCAAAGTTAGGAGATGCAGGTACCAAGTTTTTTCATGCTAAAGCAACTCTAAAACATAGAAATAATCTTATCAGCCAGCTGGTATCTAATTTTGGCACCATAGCCACTTCCCATAAAGATAAGGAACTTATTATTTGGGAGGACTTTAAACTAAGACTTGGTGTCTCAGAGTTCACAGGTTTCACTGTTAACCCAGCCAGCTTTGTTCAGAGGGTTGAAGGGTTAGAATCTCTTGAAAATCACTTTAGCAGAACTGAAATAGATGAAATAGTCAAAAGGTTACCAAATGACAAATCCCCAGGCCCTGATGGGTTCAACAATGAATTTTTGAAAAGGAGTTGGCCAGTTATTAAAGAAGATTTTTACAATCTCTGTACTTCTTTCCATAGCAATAATCTTTGCTTCAGAAGCATCAACTCCTCCTTTATCACACTGATTCCCAAGATTGATGGGCAAAGTATGTCTCAGACTTCAGACCAATTTCTTTGCTAAACACCTCTGCAAAACTGATCACAAAACTCCTAGCAAACAGGTTGCAGCTTGTAATCTGCTCCTTGATCCACTAGAATCAATACGGGTTCATCAAGTCAAGAACCATTCAGGATTGCTTGGCTTGGGCATATGAGTATCTGCATTTGTGCCACCACTCAAAAAAGGAATTGGTGATCATAAAGTTAGATTTTGAAAAAGCTTTTGATAAGATTGAGCATCAAGCAATGTTGAAGCTAATGGAAGCCAAGGGATTTGGTCAAAAATGGATTTCATGGATGACTGAGATTTCCTCCATAGGGACTTCTGCTATGCTGCTTAATGGAGTGCCAGGGAAAACTTTTCATTGCAGAAGAGGGGTCAGGCAGGGAAACCCTCTTTCTCCCTTGTTGTTTGTCCTTGCTGCTGATTTTCTCCAGTCCCTTATCAATAGAGCTAAGGATATGGGACTACTGGACTTGCCAATCCCTCTGAACTCTTCACAGGATTTCCCTATCATTCAGTATGCTGATGACACACTTATAATTACAGAGGGCAGTGCAAACCAACTCTTCTTCCTAAAATCAGTGCTCAGTAACTTCTCCATGTCAACCGGACTTAAGATAAATTTCAACAAATCCATGATGTTTCCCATCAATGTGGATGAAGGAAACCTGGATATGCTGTCCAGAACCTTTGGATGTTCTAAAGGAACCTTGCCCTTCACTTACTTGGGCTTGCCACTTGGATTAAATAAACCAGTGGTCCAAGATTTTCTGCCATTGGTAAACAAGTGTGAGAGAAGGTTGGCTGGTACTTCTATGTTTCTGTCTCAAGCTAGAAGACTTCAGATTACTAATGCAGTCCTCACCTCAATTCCAACTTTCTACATGTGCACCCTTTCTCTCCCAAAGTCTGTTGTCAAACAAATTGATAAGTTTAGAAAACATTGCCTCTAGAGAGGCTCTGATCTAAATGCAAAGAAACCTCCTAAAGTAGCTTGGGAAGTGGTCTGTAAGCCCAAGGATGAGGGGGGTCTGGGGGTTATTGACCTTGGTAAATAGAATGATGCACTTCTTCTAAAAAACTTCCACAAATTCTTCAACAAGCTAGACTTCCCTAGGTCCAGTTAGTATGGGAAAAACATTAGACAGTGAGATGGAACCGTTACGCTCCCCCGCTCCTCCGCCCCCGCCCCCGCCCCCGTACGCCGCCCCCAGCCCAGATCCACCGCCGTCGGCCGTGGCCCCCAGTCGCCATGCGCTACTGTGCGCTCCCCACCCCGTGGTCGTCCTCCTCACCCCACTCGCATTGCTTGCGGTGGCCCAGAGCCACAGATCGAGCACGTCTCCCACCGCTTCTCCCCCCGCGCGTCGCCTCCCTGCTGCCCTGTCCCCGTGTCGGTCGTCCTCCTCACCCCACTCCCCACCTTGGTCGCCGTGGGGCCGAAGCTCCACCTCGGCGCCACCACTGCTACTCCCGCTGCTGCTGTCGACGGGTCGGACAAGACAGGAAGCACATCGGCAAGCGCGTCAAGTTTGCCTCCCCCCCTCTGCAACCACTCGGTGAGATTTTACTTCTCCAACGGCGCTACACCAACCAAATCTTGCCTCAGATCCGCTGCAGTGAGGCATGACGCTCAATCTACCAGGCATTCAACTCCCCCCCTCCAGTCTGCAACGCCCCGCTTCCAAGGGGATTTCCCTTCCCGAGGGGGTGGCTCAGGGCTGTCACCGGGGCATGGCAGCAGGCCGATGGGGTGCATTCACGCGCGTGCCTCACGTCAGAAGATGAAGACGCATGGTCAATGGTGCGCCTGAGACGCTGGTGGCGTCTCCCTGAGTTCAAAAGCACGACGCATTGAACTCCCTCAACCACCTGGGCGATGAACTACAACGGCACATGAGAGGTAAATGCTTTCGTTGTCTCTCCCCTGGCCACGCTGCGGCGGACTGCAGGGACCCCGTGCGCTGCTTCTCTTGTGGTCGCTAGGGGCATAAAAGCAACGTGTGCAAAGGCAGACCTTCATCCTCCAGGCAGCAAGCTCCCCTGCCCAGGAATACTCCTCCACCACTCGACGACACCAATTTCCCACCGCTGGGAACGGGCGCGATGGCCAGGCCCGGGGACCCCTCTGTCCGCCCTCTGGACACATGTGCCGTCGCATTCTCCATCGACAACATGGACCAAGAGCTCGACCGCCTCTCCATGCATGGCATGGTGGCCTGGCTAGGGGGAACCGGCCGGTGGTGGAGCCAGAAGTCATCAAGAGGGCCATCTGCCACCATTTTTCGGTTCATCCAGAGGATGTCACCGTCATCAGGCACGCC